GGATGTAGAGTCCTACAAATTCCAGTTAGTCCTTGTCCAGCGGGTAGTGATAGGGCTCGAGTCTAAAAAAAAAGGAACATACCAACAAACGGAATGCAGCCCTCTTGCACATTCGCAGTTTCCATCTCAACACGAAGATCATGGAAATTGCGGACTGGCTGAATGAGTAACTCCAAGTCTTTTAACATCTGCCGATCACCGAGCGACACTATAGCCCATGTGCTTTGGAGTCGGGAGCAGTCGGTTGAAGTGAGTGCAATGGCAATCTGTAGCATTGTAGCATAGTTGCATATTCTCCGAGCATGAGCCGCAGTGTGGATGAATTTAGAAATGGTACGCGCTCGCTCATTGATATCCAGGGTAAGAACAATCTCCGATAGGACCCATTTCACCATCAGATTGAAACGTCCCACTACGAGATCGATACCTCGGCGGTCATCATCGATGAGAAACTGTACCCAGCTTGTGGTGAAAGGAGGCCCACTGTTCCACTTCATATCAACAAGATCTCTCCAATCCACTTCACCAAGAGCAGCCATCTCGACGAATGTGAATTGTTGAGCCAGGATATGGGATTCGCATGAGAGAACGAAAGGTACATGCTGAGCGCCTGGGGCTGTTGTGAGAACCGAAGGATGATGGTCTGCTTCCGACCGACAGAGAACATCACCAGACACTTGCTTCATATCCAAAGACGGGAGATTTACTCTTTTCCCGGCTTTGTTTATTGGTGACGGATCAGGGGTCAGGGGTTGGGCTTTAGCAAGGTCTGGGTTCAAGGAAGCTCGATATGAGTGTACAGAACGATGGTTCTGGACTGTCATCGGTGGCGATGGCGGGTGCGCAAGGGGATGAGGAGGTATCGTAGCAGACGACTCATTGAGGCTACGCGTATCGAACGATAAACGCGCCTCTGCCACCTCCTTCGAGTCAATTACGTCGACCGAAAGCTCAGAGGATAGGCCAGACAGGCGAGACACTCTGCTTTTATGATGAGGCACAGGGAGAGTTGATCCCCTAGGGATACGCTTCATACTCTCCGTTTTCTTTATCATGTCAATAGAAGGATGCGATGATTCTCTGTCCAATCTCTCCCCAGCCACTGGGATGGGACGGAGTACGGCATGTGGGCCAGACGCTTCATCCGGCACCGGCTTCTTCATGGATTCATCACTTAGTCCTCGCTCCAACAGTGGGATAGAGCTGTAAGAATCCTCCGAGTCTACGATTGACTCTGAGTAAGGTCTGGAATTGAGAATCCGCGCTTGAACTTGCGCGTATGTCAGATCATCGCCAAGTCTCTGGTGGCTTTGTGCGGGCGTGCTAGAGCGGGAGTAAACATCACGGGGAATTAGTCCTTCACGTAAGCGACCCCGGTTGTTGGTGCGCTCCTGGGACTGACTTGGTCCAGCAGTAGCATTTGTCGCATTATCAATTTGCTCGCCCTCCCATTTGCCTTCAAGTTTCAACAGGGCGGATTCAATGCCCCCATCCTCGTCGTCGGGAATCTGCGCAAAGCGTGCGATTGCGGACTCGAAAGAACGGCGAATAAGCTGGGACGAGTTTGTTTTCAAGAGCGAAAACCGAGGCTTTGGAGGGACAAGGCTTGTTTGAGGTCTCGAAGCCTTCTCCGCGATTTTAGCTGTACTGTCAGCAACAGAGCTTTGGTAGGTCACCTCAGACCAAACTGAGGCCGAATCGGGAATTGATTGGGCATCGACCCCAGTTTTCATCCGGCGCAAGTCGCCTCCAGGTCGCCTCCGAAGTGTAGGTCCGGCATGTTTATTTGCGAGATCAAGAACACTTGACCCACCTGCGGAGCTACCAAACTCACTACCGAAGGCAGGGCGATTCCTCGAAAATCCACTCTGAAATGAAGCATATTTCCGGAGGCGCATGGATTGAGAAGGTGTTTTCCAAAAAGACGAGCCCCTGTCAATGGACATAGATCTGCGCGATGCCGGGTTCCGAGGATGTCCATAAAGCATGGAGCTTTTCCTTGACTGTCTCGTGCTAGCTTCGTCATAATAAATGGGCAGTGAATACTCATCGGCTCCAAGTGTAGATCCTCGAGACGACGCAAGGAACGTACGGGCTGTAGGAGTGGTAGGGGGGTTTTCCGCAGTTAGAAACATAGGGGCCCTGTCAAGACCTACACCCCCCGACATAACAGGTATCGCCGTGCCAGTGTCATCCACGATGACTATGGATTCACTGCCATCCGTTAAGCGGCTTTGGGTTTTGGTGTCATGCGGGGGTAAAAGGAAGGTTTGCGGTACTTCAGGAGGATTCTGGCCAAGAGGTCGCTGCACTAGCTCGTTAATTGCCGGTGAATCGACATTCTCGCCAGATGCCCGACGGTATTGCTGCAGGGCCTCATCACAAAGAAGGTCAATTCTAGCCGGCTTCTTCGTCTGCGGAGCAGTCCTTTTGTCTCGATATAAGTCGGACTGGAATGCGACATTTGTTGGGAGTGCGGAGGTCTTGCCTCGAGTTGACAATCCATTCACGGGACGTGCAGCGACACCGGGTGTTGGGTTCTTACCATTAAAGGCTCGACGAATAGAGCCAATGATCGTCTTTACACCCGATCCCGAAGAGCCAGGCTTCGTAGGACCATCCGTATTTCGGCGGTCCATATGCGTACCAGTCGACAAAGACGGGAGAGGTGGAGATGGTGGCGCCATCATCGTCATGTATGACTCCACGGGAGGATATAGCTCGCCGCGTATCAAACCGCCGAGATAACAAGGCTCTTGCGATGAGAAGGAACTATTATTATCGATGTTTGGTAGCGAGACCGGAGCTCTGTCGTCTCGAACCGAGTCGGAGAAACTCCCGCTGCGCTTGTGTGCATGACCATAGCACGGGATGCGCCTCGCGCTAATGGGCGACAACGGGGTTGTAGGGGCCTGTGACGAACCTATTGGCCTGGGTATAACAGGCACTGGATGAGGCGCATTTGACGAGAAGGGCATGGAATGGCGCTTGGGTGATTTGGATTTAGGTGGCAATGAACAGGAGATTGCAGGAGCGCTCCAATCACTGCTAGCTGATGCCGGCATACTCTTTGCGGTAGTAGAGGAATCGTTTCGATCGTGATGGGCTAAGAGCGGCCGGTTCCTAGATTCTGACCCAGGCATTTGGGTGCCATGTGTTGGCGCGACGTTCTGCAAGTCGTCGCCCACAGCCGGTTCATCACCACCAGGGTCAATAGGGCGGTCCGGGATATTATGAGGAACATGATTATCTGGTATATCCCAATAATTTGAGCACTTGCCATGCCAACATCGCTTGAGGTCAATTAGAATTTTCAGGTCGCTCATCCCGCCGCCCTGGCGAGCCTTGACACCGTCATATAAACGATTGATAGTCTCACAAAAGTGAGAGCGCAATTTGAAATCCGGGACGAAATCATCGACAAAGTAATTCAAGATCCAATGGCGCAGGGCCGCAAATGTGCGAATTCTAATGATCCTCCCATCTTCTTGGAGTCGATTGATCGCCCATTGGAGACGTGCTAGCAAAAGAGAGAGCAAAGACCCAGCGGAAAGGTAGGTTCGGAAGGTAAGGAAGAAATCCGACACAAGCTCATAGTCCATAAAGGACTCGGAAGATATCTGTGCAACAATGCGCGCAGGTGTAGCAGCACTAATATTTTTAGTACCAGAGACGTAGCGGACGACGGACTCGTCATCCATCACCGTCACCAATTTCTCGAAAATTGACGGCTTGATGGTATCGCCAGGATCGTACACTACCGGGTCGGGGCTCACGGCAGCACTTCGGCTTAAATCCATGGCAGATACCCCGGAAAATATAGAGGGGGCAAACGAATGATGAACCCCGTCATGCAAGTAGGTGTTGTGAGCGGCTCTAGAGTTCCATGTTTCCATTGAAAGCGTCGAGTTTTGTAAAACATTGTCCGCCGTGTTAAACCGCGTGATACCCAGGTGATAATTCGGGATCGGAACTTCTAGGTGTCCAAGGGAAGACCCATCCGCTGACTTGGGTCTAGTGTCAGGCCGGTCGATAATAACCCGAAGCTCCTTGTTCTCTCCGGCGCGCGATACCGACTGTTGCTCCGAGATTGTAGAGAATGAATGGGCCCTTTGAAGTGCAGGTTGCCGAGTCTGAGGGTGTGACCCAGACAGAGACATATTTGAGTTTATCGAGGCAACGTCCCCGTCATTCTCTCCACTTTCGAAGCGTAACTCAGACAGTTGTGAATTGGACCATCGTGAGGGCTCACGCTTCTTATTATCACCTAGGTGTTTTGGTTGAAGGTATTCCGGCTTCAATTGGTTACCCGATGGAGTAGTTGGCGTACGAGGAGACTCTTTGCGAGACAAATTCCGAACAGGCCTAGTCAGTAAGAGGATGTTAGTGTTTGCTTTAAGCGGTTGTGACACCAAGAAATACACACGAAGAAGCAGAACGCGGACCATACCTGAGAAATATTTTACCGTTTTGGCCTACATTTCCCACGGTGAAATGACTAGACTCCCTGGCTCCAGAAAAGGTCTCGCGCGGGGTCTGGGTCTTCTGGGAATCCAGTTGCTTAAAAGACCGTCTCCGCAGTAATTCATGGCTGTCTTTGGTACTAATCAAAGGAAGAGCCGCCTTCGAGCTAATGTTTGTTTTCTTCGCAATATTCTTCCCTTGTGCAACGGTATGGGCGCGTCGTAAAGCAGATGTGACGTACGGAATTCTTGCGGGCGCATTCGACTTCGAATCCTTGCCTGCTGGGGCTGAGGAACTATTGATGTGCACCTCCTCCGACTTTTTCGGGCTGTCATCAAGGCCAGCCACACTGGGACCCATGGTGCAGCACTATGTAATGCACAGAGACCGCAGGCCGGTAGCCCCAAATCAAGAACTCCTGTCCCCCTTGCAAGCTGGCCCTTTTTTCTTTTTTTTTTCACCAAAAAGGCTTGATGGTGATAGGATACAGGGGGGTAAACAACCCGAACTGGGAACAGAGTGTGTGCCTGTGCAACGACATGACCAGGCTCAGGAGAAGACAGGTTTTATACGCAACGAATCGCAAGCATGGACGCGGTTCGCTCGGCGCTGTCGAAGTTCTCCGTTCGAAGCTCGGACCGACAAGAGGCAGGGCGGGTACGACTCGCGCGGCAGGATAGGAGTCGAGGCTTGAAGTTGAAATCAGGCAGCCGATGGATGGTGTGACGTCGAGAACCAAAGCGACGGTCGAGGGAGTTGAAAAGGACGCGAGAAAGCGAAGGAAGCGAAAGAGCGAAAGGCCAAGCAGCCGCGTGATGGGATACGTGAGGCGAGGCGAGGCGAAGCGACCGCGAGGATGCGCGAGGATCAGGAGCGTTAGTACTAGGATTTGTTTTGTTAGCCTGCGGAACGGTGGTTCCAGGAGAGCGGAACCAAACCCACAACAGCTGGATGGCCACGACTCAGCTCAGCCGGGGAAACGGTGCGAAGGGGAAGGAAGCCTAAAATGTCTCCAGCAATTCGACCCATGGCACGAAAGCGCGGGAACAGCGAGCAGATCCCGCCAGTTTTCGACAGGGAGGGGTGAAGCCGTGATCGCCTCACTTAGCTTTCCGGCTTATTCTCTCAGCACAAAGACAATGGCCAGGATGTCCTTGATCAATTCGAGGAGCAAACCACGAGCAACATCTTGCTTTCCCGTCCAAGCATCAATCACATTGCAGACTGTCAGCTGATCGGATCCATTTCAAGGCTGAGGCTCCACTACGAGACAGATTGAGCAGACGAGCAGAAGATCGGTCAAGGAGCAGGAGTTGCATGGAGTGCAGGCGCCAATCATCATTACTATTCCACGCTCTCGTCTGGCAGTCTCGCGGGGCAATCACCTCCTGCAATCCCTGGAGTCATGACGGTGGAATCTCTCAATTGTCGGCAGGCCGTCTTAAACGAGTCAGGCTGGAGGCTGGAGGCACCTGGCGGTTCCCAACCGCGGGCGAACCGTTAACTGCCAAACGACCAATCCGGTAAGGGTGTCCCCGACAAGGTTTCACTACTGATTCTTGAGTACACTAAATCTCCAACTGAAGCTCCGAATCTCCATCCCGTTGGAATCAGATCGAGTCTTTGTTCAAGGACAATAATCAGTCAATCATCACCCAAATTTCAGTTCCCCAGTGACGCACTCACTCCCTGGTTCGAAATGTCAAAGAATGATACATCACATTTCCCCCTCGGTTCTTTCGGCGCTGACCTGCGTACCACCGAGCCGGTTCCTCCCTACCACGATGATGTATTATTATGGAGGTGGGAAAATTTTGCCCCATATTTTGCTTTTCCCGCTGAATCCGATGGAGCTGGAGATTTCGTCATTGGGTCCGGTCGGGTGGCCACCGTCTATTCCACTCTGTCCACACCGTATACGTTTACGAGTAAGCTACGGCGGCGATCCGGATATGAAAGTCTGCAAATTCAGAGAACCAAGCTGGCAGGCGCCGGTCATAATTCAGCGCTTTGTTGGAGTGTCGTTTTTGATTCCCTTACTCCGAACCAGCCTCAGGCTTGGCATCTACATAATGAGGGAGGCTCATACTGAACCTGAACTGGTCTTGCTTTGTTCGAGTTCGCAGTGTATCGGTGAAGGTCACTTTTAGTTGGTCGATCCATCACATCTCAGTCGCGATCCTCCGGTTGCAGAGATAAACCAATCAATGTCCAATGATTGAGATGAAAGAACGAGCTGACTCGGTGACTCGCCTCGTGCAGCGTGGGTCTACCTACCTACATCCTACAGTTCTGGGCCATGGTTCACCGGGCACGAAGTAGATCCATATCCAATGATTCAGCTAAAATGATAGATAATTCAATCCAAGTAAACCAATCCCTATATGCGACGCAAAAAAAAGACGCTCTGCATTGACTTTCAGCTACCAGAGCTTGCACCTTGGTTTCTTGTTGGGGCAGTTGAACGCCTCCTGGAACTCAAGGGAATCCGCCATTGTTCCCTAACGCAAAGGTCAGTTTTGGCAGTATTATAGTGTGGTATGAATCGTGACTTACAATAATCCTCGCCGGTTTAGGAGGGTGGGGGTCATTATATATGGCCTCCTGGGCAGCCTCAGGAGTTGTCTTGCTGCACCACCAGTTTGCATAAGAGATGAAAAAGAGCTGCTCTTTGCTGAATTCGGAAAGACCGGGTAATTGGGGATCAGGATGGGCCTCATCTCGCTTAGACCAAGCGTGAAATGCCGCTGAAATTCCCCCACTATCAGCAATGCTTTCTCCCTGTACTAGACGCCCGTTAACATGAAGCTCGGAGTCTTTTCCATGAACTGTAAACTCTGAGTATTGGTCAATGAAGCACTGTGCACGATCTTCAAAATCTTTCACAGTCTTCTCATCCCACCAATCCGTGTAATTCCCTATCGCATCGTAATGTCGTCCAGTCGAATCGAAGGCTATATAACCTTGACGTCAGTCTTGCTTTACAGCCGGCAGCACAAGTTTAGATGGCGTAACTTACCGTGGGAGAGTTCGTGTCCACTCACCGCTCCAAATGCTCCGTACGTCAAGTATAATGGGGCATTTGGTCCATGGAAAGTCGGTGGCTGCATGATCCCAGCAGGGAACACGATCTCGTTGCCGGGAGGGTTGTAGTATGCATTAACGGTGGGAGCTGTCATTTCCCACTCGTCTCGGTCGGTCTTCTTTCCCAGTTTTGCCCAGTTTTGTTCAGTTTTGAACCTCGCAGCGGCAACCGCATTCTCAAAGAAGGTCTCATTTGAAATGGACAGGCTCTGGTAATATTTGTCCACATCCGCCGGGTCCATGAGATTGGGGCTCTTTGTCGGGTACCCAATTTTTTGAATGATATTACCAACTTTCTGTATACCCAATTTCCTCACTTCTGGTGACATCCAGTTAGTCTGGTCCAAGGTAAATACGAAACGTTCCTTGATATCAGAAATAACCTGGTCCCCAAGTTTCTTTGACTCCTCGGAGAACGAGTCCGTAACGTAAAATCGGCTTAGGATCCATCCTAGACTGTAATCCAATTCGCCAATACACTTTCGCCACCGGTCCTTCTTAGCTTTAGGATCTTTCCCAACAAGTACATTGTTGAACTCAAGCAAAGGCTCAAGTTCGTCGCTCTCAATGTAATCGGCGTAATTCTGGATGATCTTCCACTTGAAGAAGTGCTGGATGACTTCTCTAGGAGTCTCATTTAATATTTTCGACAACGATTCCATGTACGATGGAGAACCGACAATCAGACGATCAGTTTCATAATCCGAAGGAGACAAGTCCGAAATAATATCAGACAATAGAATCTGGGGCAAAAGTAACTTCGTTTCCTCAATGCTGCGCGGGTTGTAGTACTGGGTGATGTCCTCTTGGCTCTGTGTAGTTGGTGTGACATTTGCCAATTTCGATTCGAATTCCACGACATCCTTAGAAAGGTGACTCTTTTTCTTGTGCTTAACAAATGCACCGAGGACCTTCTCGACAACCGTAGTATAATCGCTGACAGTCTGTGTATCATTATAGTACTCTCTCGCAGGAAGCCCAATATTCCTAGGTGGCGTTACAAAAAGTACAACATTATCCGGGTCACGGTCGTCAGGCTATATCGAAATGTTAACTTTAATACGAGAGAGTCATGGTTGATGGAATAACTCACTCCGACAGAAGACTCGACAAGAGCACGAACGCCTGACTTAATAAGGTGCAGCACCGCATCAGTCAGGCTAGTTTCGGAGCCTTCCGATCCCGAGTCCAGGCTATATATCTTCTCAAAATCTTGTAACAGCTTTTCCAATGGCTCATTACCGCGCTTTTTAGCCCTATCTTCGTCAAGACATGCATTGTAGCCGGACTTTAGTTTATCAAAGATATCCGAATCGGCGGGGTCTGAAGGGCTAGAAGTCTCAAGTAGATGGCGAAGGCGAGCCTGGGAAGCCTCCTGCATAAAGGTCCCTGAAAATATCGCGCCTTGGTCTGACCGCATATCGTGGTTCTCCCTCCATCCGCCACAAACATATTGGTCAAAGTCAGTGCATGGATCGATATCGGCGTATTTCGGGTCTAGATTGCGAAGAATATCCGAGGCAGCGCTCACACATTCGGGGGTCTGGCAGATGGTGGGCGCCTCGGTGTGTGGAGTTTCGTTATCTGATGGTTCTTCTGCAGAGTGAAAGGACACATTAACAAGGCAGAAGGAAAGGGTGGGCTTGGAAATGACATACTCAACATAAATGATGCAAAATACCCAGAAGTCGTGAACAGAAGAGCTCCCAATGCGAACAGTATAGCATAACAAGCCGTGGCAAGCCATGATCGGCTTGACTTGCTCCCACGCGCTCTTGAAGATCGATGACGATTGTCAACGGAGTCTAAGTCTTCAGAGAAACCATGACGCTTCTCATGCCCGGGCTCTTGGTAGTCCCGAAGAAGAGACGTACGCTCCGAACCCAGGTCGCTGCAGGTGTCAGTATTCGTCTCTCATCTTAGATGCTGCTGGAGTGGGGCTTGGAGCTTATAGGTTACCTCGTGGGCGAGCCTAGCAAAGGGTTCTGACCCTCCATTCCGTCAACCAGTAGCCCACTAGTTTACCCGCTGGTTTGCTTCTGAGATATAAGATAATTATATATAAAGTTTGATCCGCTCAATGTCATTCGATGTTGGACGTGAGGGATATGCATGAGGCATCTCAGCAAGCGCGGTGCCTGGTCGGAACTCCGCCATCTTTAGCTGGTGATGATGTAATCACTGATGGGTCCACGGTTGCTTTGCGGGGAAACGAGTTATCAATAGTTATCTTTCTTTGGTAGACTGCTGGCTTTCTGATATTTCGGCTTCTCCAGGAACAAAGAATCCAAAGGATGGGCTTGTCTTAGCCTTGATCATATTCGACGACTCGCGACGTTCCTCGGTTCTGCAACGGACCCTTTATCGCTGCTAGCTATGGAGATTGGCGCTTCTCGTACTATTACAAAGAACATGGAACTTCACTGCACTCACTGCACTTATTGAAGAAAAACCTTCTTTGACAGCACTGAAAGACTGGATAATGACGAAATATCTTATTGATTCTATTGACGATGTACAAATAAGCGCGCCGCTCTATTGAAACCAAAAGTTTCGTCTTGGCGATCGCAGGTTGCATGCCTTGCAGAAATATATATTGTTACCGAATGTAACAAGTCGAGCCTCTGTAAAAGAGTTCAGACGAAAAAACGAGAGCCAAAACTGACTGTCGCCTTGAAATTGCATATAGGCACCCGAGCACTCAAGTCCAGACCATCAACTCGACGCTGACTCGGTTTGGTTTGATCATGCACCTCTATGCGGGCCACGGTCTGAAGAAGAGGTCGACTGCCGAGACATGATCATTCACTGACGGCCTGATGGTCTGACCACATGTCAAGCCTCACTGTCTCATATTTCGTTGCCCCTGAACGCCCTGACCAGAGTGCCCATCGCGTTCTGGCAGATAAGCCGTAATGATATGAATAACTTGGTCGCGGCCTTTCCCATTTGTAACTTGAAACGAGGGTATTAACTAGTCATATCGCTTAATGAAGATCACGATTCGCCATTTATGAAGTCCTTTCTGACTTAACATTGGAATTGGAATTATTAGATATCGCCTCCCCGTATTATTGTGATATGGAGCTGTATAGGTTGACTGGTCACCTTGACACATCACCTTCTACGCCAGCCCAGACTCAGAGGGGCTCTGCGCCTCTGTGGTTTGCGTTGATGATAAAATTTAGGAGGTCGTCAGTGCCACGAGGAAGAGAGAAGACGATGGGATATCGACCACGCTTGGGGTACTCGGTCAAGAAGACGAACGAAAAGGAGTCTTCGAAGTCCAAATTGGGGAGGTGTTTAAGACCTGGGCAAGAGACTTTGGCGGATTCCCCGCTGTCCAGCGAGGAAAAGGCGTGGGGAAATGCGAGGGCATTATTTCTGTCCACCGAGACGCAGAGACTTTGGGCCGTGCTTCAAGGCGCGGGCCAGCGTTCACCTCAATGGTGGAGACATTGGAGCCACCTAGACATCCAAGGTTCAAGACAGGGACGAAATATTTGAAGAGACAAACTTTAGATGATGGAAAGGAAGATAAGGGCCCTCGGCCTGGGATAGAGTGCCCCCAAAAGAATACACTCAGCGAGAGATGCGGTTTTTCAATGGACCAGACTGATTGTGTGCTCCGACAAGTCTCTATACTACGTAGATTCGTCTTCCTCATCCTGACGAGACATCGCTGCCGAGTGGCGATTGACGGCTCGATTCTAGATGTCCACCGTAGACCCCAGAAAACTGAACCGTTGGAGTTTATACTCAGTAAGCGCTTCAGATCGACGTCCAAACCTCGGGTTGCATAATCAATCGTGCATCGTTGTTGCCCGGCCCTCGTAGCCTGGTGCGACATCCTCTGAGGTCGGACTCACTGAGCTTTAAGGGGAAACGGCAAGTCATTGAATTTATTTATTTTTTTTCTCTTTCTCTCTTTTCTTAATAGATACATACCGAAGGGTACATATACAGCAGATATGAAGCCCAGAGCCGTCATACGCAAAAAAAGCAACCATGGGCTAGGGAGTCTGGGAAACAAACTACACACCGTCGTAAGTACGCGGGTGCGCCTCCCGAGGAAGTTCATCCTTGAGGCCAATGGCGAGAGAGCTGACCAGCATCTGAAATTGAAGAGGAGCAGTCAGCAATATCGCTGTCGCCTTGGCTTAGTTTTGCCGTCGGGAGTTGTTCCTTTGGCATATGATCTGCCCTGAAAAGGAGAACGCTACGGATGCTGTGTCGCGATATTGCAGCTGTCGCATGGCGCCATGGCCTTTTCAATGGACAATAACCCCGGAACGACAGGCTCAAGGCTTGGCTACCCCTGCCTTAGCGGCAGGACGGTGTTTTTGTCCGTTGGAAAGATGAAACCGGCTGGCCGGAAGGAAAGATCCACCTCGTTTCAGAAGGAGCTATCATTCCCCTTGTCCTTCGTGATAAAAATATGTTGTCCAATCTGTGAATCAGTTTTTCCAGAGTATGATTATTGAGCCAGGTTAGTCCGATATAACTTCCATACACTGCTGGGCTGAAGTTAGTTAATAACGCCACAGTCCTGTCACTTCTAAAGTCCAAATCGTACTTCGGCTAAGGGACGGGCGGGAACACTTTGACATGGGGCGGGAACAGAACTGGCAATCTGGGAACTGTATATAACCAATGATAATGATTATGGCATATGGGGCATGTAGGAGGGGGTTTGCTCCACATCTTGAAAACAGGCGGGAAAGACAGGCAACGCCTCAGCGCTCCAGGTAACTCTTTGCGACCTTGAGGAACTTATCTTTAAGAAAAGAGGGGAGAATCCGAACCCTGAAGAGGTGAACGTCTATTTTTGCAGAATTCCACTGCAGGAGGTTGATGGGCCACATGTGCACTCAATATCTTCCATGCACAGTGGAATTAACACACTTGTCAGCCAAATATATGCCGATCTGTGTATGCGAGATGCGACGGATCCTAGCCTCGTGGCTTTGCCCCTCTTGGCAAATTTGGCAATGTGTTCCGGGGAGGTTCCTCTCTGACTCAGATTTGGTTTCTTGATCCCCCAGGTCTGACATTATTTGGACGAGCATGGCTAATGGCTCCTTCCCATTATTGGCAATAATGGTTATTGTCTTTTATCATCGCCTTGTGGGATGTGGGAACCTGGCGAACTTGGTAAAGGAGAGGTTCCTGGCTCGGACGGATTTGGTGGAGTTATCCAGGAGAGAACAACCCAACATGAGCAAGTTCAGACGTGGATGACTATGGGGAATTGGGCGGCGGGCGATGGAGTCGCATTTACCGTTCGTCCCGGCATGCATGAACGAGAGAGATACCGGGAGTTTGTGAGATCTTGTCGGGTGCTCGAGTTACCTGCCTCTTCGGCCTCTTGAAACATCAGCGTCGAGGACCACCGTTTATATTAAGGGAGCGAGCGAAATAATAAGATTCTCCTCCCCATGAATCGAAATGCGTGGGATCTCGGTGAAGATAGAATTCAAGCTGAAGACCTCGGGGTGGAGAGCAGAAGTAGCAGCCGAACCATTCATGCGAGGCAAGTTGCTTGGGGGATTCTCCGTATTGGCTTCCCGCCAGACTCCCCGACTAGCTCAGCACTAACAGCAGGCTAGCTGGGCCAACTCCCCCCATGGCCTTCTTCCTCGGCCAATTTGGGCGACTGCACTGCTTGTCGTTGGCTCGTTTGGTTCCTGGTTTCGTCTTCGCATGAGTCGAATTTCCTGATTGTTTTTATTTTTATTATTTGGCTTCCCTAGTCCTTGGACTCCTGGCGCCGCTCACAAGAAAAGAATCCACCGAGGATGGTTAGTCCTCCCTAAGCTCCAAGTGCTCCGTGCTTTGTGTCGGCCTCCCACAGACCAGGGCGATGAATGCCCCCTCCTCCGATCGGACGCATCAATATAACTAACAAATCGCGCGACGCTCTCACACTTCCCGTCCTCCTTCCTGCTCCCTGCAGCGAATTTTCGACGACTCATTCTAGACCCTGCTCTTCCTTCTGCACTCTCCCCCTTCTCTTGTTTTATTGTCCTCTGCTGGAGATGCCGCTCTCTCCACTACACTGAGCTCCAATTACCCTTTCTCCCCCTCAGCGTGCGCTTTACTACTCCCAGGCTGCTAGGACAGCAACCCATCGTCCGAAGAAGCTCAAAACATAACATTGAACGTTTCACTGTCTGAAAGCCTTCTCAATTCAATTTCCGAAACCTCTGTCTTTATTCTGAGCAACCTCACTCCCACTCCCTGAGACGTCCCCGATCAACCACCGGAAACCTACTCGAACTTTGCGGCCTCGATTATTACCCCCGACTTCGTCGCCTTGGTACTATATTAGTCGCGATATTTGGAATATACTGTCCATCAGAGCCGATAATTGTAACGCCCCGTATCGAGAATCTGCCCCTTTATCCGACGACGGTATCCATTCGCAAGGCAATAACTGGCCGTTGGGTCTTGGGTTTTGTGCGCTTGTAAACAGAAAGCTGCCTTGGTAGCCGCCTTTGCGTGTTCCGGGGCCTCAATAATAGACGTTTATCCGTAAGGCTGGATAACGCTTGAGACGGGATTGGATTGGATCCCCGTTTCGTTATCTCCGTGATTTGGTTGGTAGGTGTTTTTGTTATTTTCTTTTTTCTTTTTTCCCCAGCCATGCCTGGCGTAATGCTCAGGCACGAGGGCTAGAAGAAGCCAAGCTGCTCGATTTTGAGATTCAGACCAGGTTACGATACATGTCTCAATCACTTCTTTCCTTGGCTGTCTGGCCGGCAGTTTGAGCATATATTTGCGGATACTGTTCGCATTGCTCTTTGAGTCATAAATGCGCGTATACACTGGAGATACCAGCTAACCTAGCTGCTATTTTTTACTAGCGTTCGACTCTTGGAATCCCTGCTCTTTCAGGTGCACCCGCCAATACACAATGGGCTGCATGAGTTCGAAGCCCGTCGATGGGGCAGACGACAAAGAAGCAGTTCAGCGGAATGCTCGCATCGACAAGTCCCTGAAGAATGACAAAAAAGTAATGGACAGGACGATTAAGATCCTGCTTCTTGGTACGTATCATGCCAATTCACCGCTAGATGTGTACTTATCGATTTATCTTAGGTGCTGGTGAATCGGGCAAATCGACCATCATCAAGCAGATGCGCATTATCCACTCAGGAGGGTTTCCTGAAGATGAGCGCCGTCAAACACGAGCAGTGATATATTCAAATATTGTGGTTGCTTACAAGGTTCTCCTGGAAATTATGCGGACTGAGAACATCGATTTCAAAAGCGATTCAACAAGGGTTAGTCCTATTCCCACTTGTTTGTTGAATGTAAATGCTAACATGCACTGCGCCTTCAGCCGCTGGCAAGCTTTATAGATAACTTGGAAGCTGATGTTGGTGTTGAGGAAGCATTTTCCGACATTAAAGTTCGGGATGCAATGAACGATATGTGGAGAGACGAAGGAGTCCAGAGGGCTGTTTCCAAGGGCCATGAGTTCGCTCTTCACGATAACTTGAATTAGTGAGCTCTGCGACGATCACCCCTCTAAATACCCCTTATGCTGACTTTCATGTAGCTTCTTTAATTCGCTCGATCGAATATTCGAACCCGGGTGGCTTCCGGACAACCAGGACATGTTGCAGGCACGTTTGCGAACAACAGGTATCACAGAAACACTATTTGAACTGGGCCAGATGAACTTCCGCATGATGGATGTTGGTGGGCAACGTTCCGAGCGCAAGAAATGGATCCATTGTTTCGAGGGCGTCCAATGCTTGCTCTTCATGGTTGCATTGTCCGGATATGACCAGTGTCTTGTTGAAGACCAGAATGCTGTAAGTTGCCATTAACCTAGTCCACTTGAACTTGAAATTTCTAACTTGTTATCCATAGAACCAAATGCACGAAGCAATGATGCTTTTCGAATCCCTAGTTAACGGGGAGTGGTTCAAACGGAAGCCCATAATCCTATTCCTTAACAAGATTGATCTTTTCAAAGACAAACTCGAAATTTCACCGATATCGAAACATTTCCCGGACTACAGCGATTCGAACTCTAACTTTGATGCTGCAGCAAAATACTTTTCTGATCGATTCCGAGGCATTAACCGGATACCTGACCGAGAAATCTATATCCACTATACCAATGCCACGGACACAACACTGCTGAAGGCTACCATGGACTCGGTACAGGATATGATTATCCAGAAGAATCTCCACACTCTCATACTATAATTTACCTTGGATCGCACGACTGAATTTGGATTTCACGAGGTCTCCGGCGGCCATGAGATTTTCTATTGCATCTGATCTATGATTTCTCGTTGCATTCTTTGAGCGTTTGGCCTCCGACCCGCATGTCTCATCGGGCCTTTACGTTCGTTTGCTTGTCTTGCATATATACTTGCATCTTGTTGATTGGGCGGTAAAAGCCTAGCCGGCTTTACAACTTTCTATTTCTTCGGTTCAGCGATGGGCTCACTTCCTATATAATGCTGATTGATACCATTTATTCCTCTTTGTTAGGATATTCTGACACTTCTGACGAATTTTTTTTTTTTAACCTTCTTCCCACGTTCGGAGGTTCTTGCAGTGCTACTGTTTTATTTGCTTTTCACCTACTCACCTAAATATACGCTGGTTAATGCTTCAAACTAAGCTATCTAAGCTTTCTGCAGTGGGAGATGCTTTGGCAGCTTTATACAATGTCCGAATTAGTTTACAAAACCGGAAGTGGGACAATCGGCCGAGCTGATCTACGCTGGAAGCTGATGACTATTGGGTTCGAGATTGATGCGTTGAGATACCAACTATGCGTCTTTATTTACTATCCTGTATTTTAGCTACATTAATTGGAATCGTTAAGTGACAAATTACCCTATATCGTATACTCATCGTCCTCTCAAGAGTGGTGGCCTGATACAGCACTGTTGTGCCTGAGGCATATTGCCGAATTTCGGGCGGCTTTCGGGAGTTACCTAATCCGTTCCGCATGATCGGCTTGACTTAGATTTCGCCTCATGAGCACCGTCTTTGCCCCGAACAACCTGTGCCCCCTCGACTCAACACCTAAACATGCTGTCGTCCTCACTGCGTCGGGCAGCATGGGCGCCAATAGCGCCGGTTTCTGGCGTCTGTCGCTCTTCTAGCCAAGGCCTGGCGACGTCCTCCACCGGCATCGTCCGTCAACGCCGCTACTCTTCGTCATCCTCCTCCAAGCCGAGCGATGGCTCCAGGAGAGTCGAAACATCGTCTCAAACGCCCGCGAAAGAAGTTAGCTCTGGCGAGAAGCGTGACGGCAAGTCCTCAAAACGGAGAGGAAAGGATGGCAACGGCAGTGGCCGCAACGGCTCCAAGTCCAGCCAGCCAAACGCCTTTTCGAGACTTCCAAGTGTTCCCTCGACGCAACACTTGCAGCCGCATGGTAAGTAGCTTGAACGTCCAGTATTGTGCGTGCTATTCGGATACTAATGACATGTTTCCCATTTAGATGTTCAGCTTGCGTCGTTCTTTTCCATCCACCGCCCCATCTCCGTCTCTTCTACCGTCCCTCCACCGTCAAGCCCGGAAGCATTTGGCTCGATATTCACTAAGCAGGCCTCGAAGAATGATGCGGGCGATGTGATGTTCACACTCTCTTCCGCCGTCGACTCGATGGAAAACGCCGCGCATCATTTTGCCGAGAACGACGGCTCTTTGGGCGGCTACGAAGGCGAGAAAAGCCAGTTCGACGCACTGGACATGTCCGAACTGAAGGTTTCTGTGGAAGAAATGACGAAACGTCTTCGTCCGTTCAACCCCCCGCCTCCCCCGACCCCTTACACCGCCGCTGCGGAATCCGCAGACCAGCAACAATCTCAGGGAACCTCGAGCTACTCCACTGTCTTAACCATCCAGGAGTCCACTCTCTCTGACGGAAGCAAGACCTACGAAGCTCACACGACCCCGTTCGTCCAAGCCCGGAATATGGAAGCCCCCGGAGCCGGAGAAACCGGAGCTGCTATCGACGTCCCCCAAAACTCCCAGACTACCTACATTGAGCGTCTACGAAACAACCGGACCATGCACGCGATTAGTACACGGAGACGGCGCCAGCGGAAGATGAAGAACCATAAGTTCAAGAAGCTTTTGCGCAGGACGAGAACACTGAGGAGGAAGCTTGACAAGGCCTAATTGATTGAGCCGTTTGCGCTTCCTATTTCTCTCCTTGCTGTCTCTAATTCCTCATTTGTGCGTTCCCCTCTACAACTCTCAATCACCCCAATCGAACCTAATTCGATACATCGCGCGCTTCTCTCATAGCATATCAATAGAACGTTGTATCTTTGATTCCAATCATTCACCTGATTTGTTTGGTTACTCCCATACCTGCCTTCGTGGCTTTGTACCTATTATATCATATTTTCATGCGTCACACATCAATAGACAATATTGTTTATATCTATGTTACACCTATGATATTTATTAAGAAAAAACTGTATGGCAATCATTTGGCATGTGCATGAGCAAGGCCGCCAATTGTCATTGTTAACGACCACAGTGGTTAACTGGAGCTAGATACATAGGGGAGAGCGGTGTTATTTCGGGCTCATATCGCCTTCTTGGATATCTTGATCTTACAGATGAACTAGTGGGCTGCTATCTGATAATTGATAACTGCTGGCAGCCAAGGTACCTGGATACAAACAGGAGATAAGCAAGAGGAATTTGTAGCACGCATAAAGACTGAGTACTATAGCTAGTAAGGACAAAACATATAAAAATCCGGTTTTCTAGGATCGCAGCAAGCAACTCCCATAAAGTACAGTTTCCGCAAATCATGCAATGTATCTACGATAAACTCCCCACCTCTGACCTGGCCTACAAGTATGCAGGCAAGGATAGACGCATTATAATTGTCAGGTGTAGAATCCAACAGTCCCTTCATCCCCCAACCAAAATACTGCACAGCTTAACCCAGGGGCAGTTATTGCTTCCCTCCTGGTCAAGTGAAAACGACATATCATGCAAGGTACGTTCACAAGTCTGAGTTCAGGTGCCTAGGTGCTCCGTTTGCGAGCCACCAGAGTGAATGGTCCACGACGGCTTTCTCTAAGCGCAATTGGCGTCAAGGGTGGCACGGGAGTTCATGAGAAGAGCGACAATGAGACCGTAAAGACCTGCAGTTTGAAAGTTCAATAGTTAGAGATTCGGTTATTCGATATTCCTTAGTTTTCAGTACTAACCCAGAACTTCAGCGAAAATGAGAATCAGAATCATGCCGACATAGAGCCTTGGCTGCTGGGCTGTTCCGCGGACACCAGCATCTCCGACGATACCGATGGCAAAGCTGGGCAAGACGTTAACTTGAGACGTAAGGGCATAACGATGAATAGTTAACATACCCGGCAGCCAAACCAGCAAGACCGACAGCGAGACCGGCTCCCAACTGAACCAATGCTGTGTAGAGGGGAACCTTCTGGCTCAGGTTGTTTGCGATAAGGACCGACACGACGAGACCGTAAATACCAATGATACCAGCCATGACGACAGGAACAATGTCTATGAAATCGGTTTAGAATTATTTCTTATCGGACTCGCGCAGAAAATAACGTACTCTTAACGATCAGGTCGGGGCGGAGGACACCCATGGAGCAAACTCCGACGCCAGCCTTAGCAGTTCCATAGGCGGCTCCAAAGCAGGTGAAAACGATGGCTGAAGTGCAGCCTAAGGAGCCGAAGAACGGCTGAGAAAAAAACAATTATCAGTTATCATGTCGCTATCTTACAGGAAACCATCGCGCCGAGAGAAACCGAGTGACTTGGGGGTTGGGTCGAGAGATCTGGAACAAGACGGGTCACTCACCGCGTAGACGGGACTGTAGATATAGATGTTAGCAAATGAAACAAAAGACAATCAAAAGTTGAAGATATCTTCGAAGTGCGAGCGCAGGTGCTCCAGTCTAGGAGAAAGGAGAAGCTTTGTGATGATTACGTACCAGAGCTCAGTGGCCATTTTGAGAGTCGAATGGAGCCAGAAAAAACAAAATCAAGTCAAAAAAGATGAAAGCGACCAGAAGAAATGGATATACGGCAGGTTATCGCTGCAGCGGAGCTGTTGCGATGATGATCTGAGAGCTTGACGATGAGGGTCGGATATGGAGGTTGAAGGCGAACACGCTGGTTGCTTCGGAGAGGCTGAAGCACCTCCCGTGCCATCACGTGATTTGGCTTGGCAATAGCTTTACAGTGTACACATTCAACATCATACGCCATACACTTGGCTCACTAACTGGGTCACTTAGATTCTTTTTTGCATATATTATACATTGATAGTGTACATATTTAGATACAGTCACAATTGGTTTAGTACTGACCCAGGTTCACTCGAGTACCAAGGTAACCCGTGATCCAGGAACGTCGATCTTCGTACGAGATTCGAAGATACTACCTGGCCCAGATTCGTCCACTGGATGTAGGTACGTGATGGCCTTTTCGGATAATGCTCCAAAATAGTTCGGCATAGTCGTTAGGTCCTTATGCTTTGCTGCATGGCTTGGAAACGAGTCGGCATCCGACAGTACTCCAAAGGAGCAAGTCAGACCTGCTCCTGAGGGTTCAGAGATGCTATTGCTCTCCTCGCGTAACTTATTCTCTTCGACAGAGACAAAAAATTGGACGTAGTCACCGGACTCTGCAGCCTGCGACAGAGTTGACAAATCCTGTATGGACATCGGCGACTCAGGAGGGGAAGTCACCGCGTTCGCCGAGCTTCCATTTTCAGGTGAAAGAACCTCACTGAGGGGCTTCATACCCTCATTACTGGGCTGTCCAAAGCTCATTTCTGGGTCGAGTGACAGGAGACCCTGTTTCTTCCCCCATCCACCCCCGCCACTCATGACGCGGTGAAGCTTGGCGCCCATTTGAATTGCTCTTGCAAGGCTACCCTGCGAGTGCTTTGATTTAGTGTACGGACTTTCGGCCGACGTTTCAATCAAGGCCCAAACAGAAACCCTTTGGTCCGCAATGTTGTTTTCCGCGATATACCGCGGCAGTTCCTTTTCTAGTTCAGAGGAGGCCGGCATTGGGTCATCTGATTTACCGTCGGCGTGTTTCGCTATTTGGCGTAGAATATTTCCCATACTCGTTATCACCTTTCTTCGTTGACCGACAGGGTGTAAGGGGAGCTTGAGTGAGTTGCGAATTCTGGTTGGGGTCATTGTCACCGAACATATCGAGAGATCGGCTGATTTTTTTGGTTTAAGTCTCATGGAAGACGAATCGTAAGCCCAGCGAGTCCCTAGAAGTGTGTTTTCCTTGCCATTTAGAAAGATAGTGTTTGCGAGCCGTAATCCAATTTCGTGGACGGGCTGGTGTATGGCGTTGCTACCCTCAACCTCCTTAGGGAAAGAGAAGAGCAGTGTTGGCTCTTCAGTTTCCGTCGAGCGGATTTGACGCCGTGTGACAGCTTTGCCCTGGATGTTCTCCCTTCGAGCGAATAGAATCGAAACTCCCTCGCCCTCCGTCTCAGATCCAAGTGTACTTCCACCAGTCTGTGCAGTGCGCGGCAGGTGGTCGATTATGGCAGTGATCGCATGGATAGCTGTTTGCGGGGACCGACCTAGCGCCTCACGGTAGAATCGACCCAGGCACTGCTCGACAAATGCGCTTTGTGTACCAGCCCAATGAGCGAAGGCCGGAGTGAAGAGAAGGATCGGGATGTATTCCAATGCCGAATCGGGCGCAGCGTTAGGGAAGCCGGATAGAATGTCATCTGGAGTCTTCAAGGCGTTTAGCATGTTAGCCAAGTAGTGATTTCAAGGACGCTCACCAGCTGTTCAGGCGTCGTCGTTAGCCATGTACTAGCTAGACATTGACCAATGTTGACTTCACTTGTTGTTGACCCCAGCCACCTGCGAATAGGAGGACGCATCTGAGAACAAATTGAGCCTTTGCCCCGTCGGAGCACTTGATGCTGCAGGTCCGGCCGAGCAGCCAGCCGCGCTGGCAAAGAGCGCGGGGCGAACGCAAATGCTACCGCCATGAAAGCATTGGTAACAGAATGACAGTAAAGAAAATGCCAAAGGAGTGGAGCCGTCAGCTGCCTGTGTGATGTTGGGAAGAGATATTGTCAAAGAATTGGCAAGTCTAAACATGGGGAAACTTTTTGGTCAGCATGCCAAGCCTCCCGACACTGAGGAAACATTTTCCTGCAGCCAGAGGGGCGCAGCAGACAAGTCAACTTCTTCTGGAACGTTTACGAAGGTTACTGAGCTTGGAGGCGATATGCTCGTTAGGCTTACGGTGTAAGATTAGAAATAGGTTCTTTGAATTAATATTGCGGCCCATTTTGACGATTGCATCACTGGGTTGTGCAGGGTTGCCAATTTGCCATACTTAGGTATCATTGATTCAGGATCGCCGCAGTCTATCAAGGATGACTTATTAGTTGCAGCTAGGCTGCCTTCTTTATGTTTCGGTTGTCGACTTATTTGCGACTCATTTCTTGATTGTGCATGCTGCTAAAAATGGACGGACTATGCGCGATGATATCATCCATTTTTGAAGCCGTTTGGGGATCCATAACGTGGCTGAGATAGGCTCTGGGCCGATGGGGCTGTAGGGCTGGACTCCATTGAAGAGGATACGAGCCTACGAGGCCATGGATGGGAGCTTCCCATTTTCGAAGGATTTTTAGCTGGCCTTCGAGGCGACCCTTAAGCGGCTGGTCGCTCTGGTGATGCTGGCGGCTACTAGCGCACGATCAGCCAAGCCTACACCTTCTTAGGCAGCAGAATTCAAAGCAAAATGTGATCAACAGAGCCGAATTTGGTGGTTTTCTGGATGACGGACGAACCAGAAGGATTCAGGAAAAATCAGGGATTGCAGACGACCTCGAGAAGGCGAGTCCCTGGCTAGAGGCCGTCTCTGAACGGTTGACAGACCCTCGCCGAAATGACATGAGCAAAGAAGAGGAAGCCAATCAGGAGAATTGGCCTCGTCATGAGCCACAGTGGCAGCGCCGGCATGACGTAGCACAGGCTCATGCTCCAAGTCCAATTGCTCCAGGCTTCTCAATTCAAAGCTGGCGCAGGCGTTATTGGGCTCAGGTAAATCAAGTAATTCGTTTGAAAGGACGGAACGAGGTACGTCCTCTTTTCTTTGCTCATCTGCAAATGACAATCACCCAGGCTACTCCCAACTAGTCGTGCCTTTGGCCCCCGCTCAACGGATTTTAGGATTTAAGAACCGCTCATCTTGCCCGCCCTTCCGTCCCTGCTCTTCTTACTCTCTCCTGCTTCCCTCTTGTCTCCATTTGCTTCCCAACATCCCTCAGTCGTTGATAATCGAGACCACTCCCATCGCTACTTTGATCTGTTCTATCGGTTCACCCCGTCAACAAACTCACAATGCCTTTCACTGCCTCGTAAGTCCGCACTGCCCTCCCCTTTCCACCTGGACTGGCTTCCCCGGTCCCCGATCGCAATCTGCTTTGGTGGCTGAGGTCGTTCGATGTTTCTGCTGGACCCAGAGAACGCGAAACTTCGAGTTTCCGTATAGGTTTGCTGACCGATGTTATTTTACAGTGACATCTGCAAGCTCATCTTCGCTTTCATCCTCCCCCCTCTTGGAGTGTTCCTTGAGACTGGATGCGGTGCTGATTTACTCATCAACATCTGTTTGACCATCCTTGGCTGGATTCCTGGTATCATCCACGCAATGTATGTTTTCCGCCAAACCATGTTTGCCGAGTCTGATAACTAACGTTCCTCCAGCTACATCATTTTCAAACACTAGACGACCTAGTAATAATATCTGGACCTGCGGCGCCAACTATTGCTGTTTCTCGCCGTCTTCGCAAAGGATGAAGTTGAACATGCGATCCCCGTTTCGTCAGCTAGCTTCCGTGGAGGTCCGGGCGGGAGGACTGAGCTAGACCATCACCGTTTCCTCCTTGGCGTCCCACTCCCTCGCATTTCTTCGGTCTCTTTTAACGATAGTCGCATGCTGATGACCGGATTTGGTTGACGTATTGCTGGGTTATAATATCTGTTGCCATGTCAGTTATGTCGGTTTCATGCGTCTATTTTTTTATGATACCAGCCCATGTTGCTTCTGGGCTTTGCTTTTGCTTCACAATTAATGGATAACTTCTATAATTGATATATATTCGCTTGCGATCATCTTTTAGCCTATTTATTAACTGAGAAACTTTCTCAACCAGTCGATTTGCGCGCGGTACGCAGTAGTCGACTGACTGCCCATGTAAAAGCGCGCCTCGGCTAACTTGGTAGGTTTTTGCGTAGATCTCGTGTTCTGCGTCATTCTTCAAGGGAATTTTAAGTTTTAAGTTTGTCACCTGGACAGGGATTGATTGATGGAGAAACTTGATCTGAGTGCTTCGATGCCACTCATTCCGAGGCTTCGTCGAAGCGCCTGGCCCAAATCAGCTGACGGCGACGTTGATTGCTTCGTCCTGCAGCGCCGGCGCTAACTAGGGCGCCTATTCCAAAATGCCAGCGGATATGATGTCTTTGCCCCTCCAAACAAGGCGCTTCCTCGCGCTCAGGCAGCCGACTTCCCATCTTCGCATGCTGGGGCCCTGTGTTTCATCACGGCGCGTACAAGAGCCATATGCGCCCTGTTTCAGATCTGGACGAATCGATGGACCAGTCAGTCGCCAGCACGTCTGGAGGAGGTGATCTCTCTTCATGCTCCAATACCAGCAAGATGGCTGTAGGCGCCGTGAATCTTCATGATGATGTCTTCCTCCCACCCTAGTTGCCGGGCGTCTAGCCGCTCTGGTGGGATAATACCTGAATCTCTACTCATTCCCAATTTATTCTACCTTGTGTTAGCATCTTAGAATGATATACAACCTGTACTAATGAATCAGAGGAACGAGCTCCTCTGTAGCTCGAAAACCTGGGTATGTACATGCTTCCTTCGCGGGCTGTTTCAGGCGGATTTGAAGTGCCTTGAGAGGCTGACTGAATATCGACAATAGGTTACCGCACCATGTTATCATATCCTATTAGATGGGTACTAACAGTAGCCGTTGTCCTTGTATATCTCACGCAATGCACGAATACGTCGACCGTCTCTTTGCTCAACCTACTGCCAAAATGCGCTTCAGAATGTGTCGAGAGTTTTATAAGCACGGAATACCCAAAAGACGCTTGCTCGAAAGGCTGTGACCTGAATTATTTGTGCAAGAAGAATACAACGAGCGGGTACACCTTGGGGGAGGCGGCCTTGCGATGCAGTCTCTCATTGTGTTCGTTGGAAGTGGCAATGAGTTTCGATACCTACAGCATCTGCAACTCTGTGCCGGGAGCCCTGCCGCAGACACACCCTACGATTGTTGCTACAATCGCATCGCCTTCCAACCCTACCTCCACGACAAGGCACACTACAACGGTCACTACACATTCGGAAACAACAAGCACCCGTCCAACAATAGAGTCCTCCACAGAATCATCAACAGAAACAGACCATACTTTAACAGCAACAACAACAACATTCGAGAATCCAACATCGGCCACCGATAGCACCACCCACACTTCTAGCACTGAGACTGACGAGCAAACGTCGACAACGTCAACAGATCAATTGCCTAGCGCAACATCCGATGAAACATCTGGTGCATCTACGCAAGGCAGTAGCCTCAACTCCGGTGCAGTTATTGGCGTCTCTGTTGCGTCTGGCATCGCTGGCTTTTTCATTATCGGTGTCATAATTTTCTTCTGCTGTCGAAAGATCAGGCGGAAAGCACAAGACCGAGAATTCTTTGAGATTGGCGGGCATATGTCAGAGCCGCCTGATTTCAGCTTCCCACCAAGACGTCCTCCGATGGGACCACGACCGTCACCTGGAATGCTTAATCCTGAATCTGAGAGCGCTAGACTTGTTCCTCCGGTGGATTCTGAATATCAACCCCCAGCTCACTATCCTGCAGTCGTTGTTACCCGGCCGGAAGAAGACGATGGATACCGCCATACGCTAGAAAACAAAACAGACAGGACGGGCGCCCAGTCTTCCTCCAATTTCGATTTTGATGCCGCCTCGATTGCCTCATCGAGAACGGTGTCCGATTTGCTTCCAGACAAGCCAACGTATGAACTCTATCCCAGGCCACTTAGGTGGAGCCAGCACAAAAAATCTAGACCCTCTAGCGGGGAAAGCTTTTCTGAAGAAGAGAACTACACAGGGCCAAGAAAGCTCCCGAGTCCTCCAATACAGCTACCCGGTTTCGCACCAGGGAATGGGAAGAGCAAAAACCGGGTTCCGATGGCAGGACTACCTCCCAATCCGCGTGCCATGATGTATGGGTTTGGGGCGCCGGGCCAAATGGTGGCTACGAAAGGAGCCGTCAATGGGAAAAGACCGGTCTATTGGAATGCTAAAGATAATCTTCAACCGTCTCGTCAAGCGGTTCTCCAGGGAACATCCCCTTACCGGCCAGGTCATATGGATTATGATGACGACCTTGACGGATACTGGCAAAACTCTGACGCTGGTTTCGTTGGAGCTAAAGTGATTCAACCTCACGGTGCAGCTCGGGGTGCCGGGGTGAATCGGAACTCCTTTGGCGATTATCCGGGATATGATTTTGAGTTCGGGTTTGGTGATCACAACAATATCGGTTCAGATTCTCGCCGAGCATCCCGTCACTCTGGAGGTTTCCGCCCGCTTACCCCTGTACGGGAAATCCGTACACCGATGGGCGAAGTTCAAGATCCAATGAGAGAGGGTTCTAGTGATCGCGGCAGCTCGGTGAGGTATCCTGATGGCGGCCTACATAATCAACCTCAGGAAGTCGTTTCACGGCCTCGGATTGTCCGACAAGACGATATCAAGCGTGTTCAAATACGACGCGGCAAGGCGTCACCCAAAGAGGTGACAGTTCCCTATTGTCCCGACGACTACTGGCTAGAACAGAGCGATGAGCAGCCATCGGCATACAACGCACCGAGGAATTCTGGCGAATACAAGGATACTCCGAAGGGAAAGCTCGGCATGCCTAAGAAGAAGCCGTCTGCTTGGGAGCGTAACCTGACGCCATCGCGAAGGGGCGCAGACTTGATCCTCCAGGTGGAATAATGGCTGAACTAATCAGACTATCTTTCTTTGGTGTATAATCTATATATGTGACGATTGCATGTCTGACTCATTAGCGTTGTTTATATTATTTTCTATACTCTTTCACTTTGATTCCTTTTTTCTCTCTCTCTTTCTCTTTTTTTTTTTTTCTCTTTCTTTTCTCATTCCTCCTCTTATCCTCTTGACGCATCAAGCGTCCTTGATGGACACAGATTGGCGTAATTTGTCTCTACTTAGAATTACTACATAAAAGTAATCCTTCAAACCAGCTAGATACTTCGTCTGTACAAAGTTCTATGCAGGAATAATTCGTCAACTTTGTCCCGCAAACTTAAACTCTGACAGGCAAAAGCATAGAATGTAATACAGGAGTAACCAGTAAACTATGGGTGTTGCCTTGCATTCTACCATCAGCCTCACTACCACAAAGTGCAACCACTGACTGCTGCCTTCCATGATGGCCGGTGGTTCCGACTGAAGAAACACGTCGCATCAGCCTGAGAACTTCAGAGTAAACTCAGTGAGTATAGCAATGGCATAAGCCTCCCCCCCTTTAGCAGTATCTGTACCATTGGACTGGGCGTGGATGATTCCCCTTTCATGTTCCTTGCTCCAATCCAACCCCAGTTATCCACCCATGGGCCGGCTGCGCCAATCTTCCGAATCTAGACATTCTCGATCTCGTTTCCAAAATCCGGAGTTAACCATACAATAATCGACGAGTAAGTGGTGGTTGTCGTATTTCCCAGCGACAATTTCACATGCACGAAATTGGGGTTCGAAAGCCAAAACGCAACCCTACGTTGTCCAGGCGAAGGGGCGCAGCGCACTCACCAACCGCATTCGCACCCGCATCCGCAAGCCCTCAGCTTTCCCTATCTAATACCGCATCTGGATCTCCTTGCATGCACCAACCTCTACTTAGCTCCTTTGTTAAACCATCCGCTGATGACTGCCATGCTTTAAAGGATGCTCGGTGGTTTCGTAGGTCCAATCAGTGCTGCAGGCGCCGCACTTTGGCTTTGGTGATCGGGACGCCGGACTAGGCTGTTCCTATTCTATTTCGTGGTGGTGTCTCATTTTGGCCGGGTTGGCGTTATTTGTCGACAAGTACCTTAATAAGAGGCGTGTTATAGCCAGGGCTCCTTCCACCGGCCTCATGTATACACTCCCGTGAGGTTGTATGAAGAGGTTGTAAATTACATGCGGCTGGATTCCCGTATCGTCTGGTATGTAATGAGTGACGTCGTGATAGGTTGGGCTACAATATGGCACGGATGCCGGACCCACCTATGATGTCAGAGGGTCGGCGAGGCTGTGGTGACCAAAACGACAGGTATGGCGAATCATATCCGGTTTTGCGTCTGGTCTGGTCGGTTGAACCGACCCGACGGTGATGATTCAAGGCTAGACTATGCACCCTTCTCGGTCGGCCGTCCAGATAGTGTGACTTTTGGCGTGAACCCAAGCGCCATGGCCCTGCACGAAGGGTTGATGAGACGCTGCGTATTGGCGGCGTTTTGTGACGGGTAAGTAATGGCGGTGACCGTCACGGTACTGGCCTGGCACGTTTCAAGGACCAATGATTGACCCTCCACTTCCTCCGAAGAACGTCAAGCTTCCTCTCTCCCCACGATGATATCAACTTCATCATTACCAGCACGTCTTCCATCGCCACGCCGAGCCCAGCGCTCTGGCTTTCCCGAGGGCTCGCTTCAGCTGCCTTTAACCGCAGCCGGCATGACTCTTTTGGTTTTCTGGTTTCCGATTCCCTCTTGCTCGAAGGAACCCCACTACTGCACGTCACATCCCATGGTTCCTGATAGGCCAAAGGCCCGTCTCACATAATATCCGCCTCCATTGTCGCTTCGTGGTAAATGGAATCCATGACATACCCGCCGCACGCAGAAGGAACTAAACTTTCGACTGGTGGAGCTGATACCAAGACCAACGACGGCGCTACTCGTTCAGACCCACCAGGCTGCCTTGTTCCATACAATGTCGATGACGGAGCCAGGGGTTGGCTCGGTAGGTTTCTACCACTCTCCGATTCTACTATATTAATCTGGTGAATCCGGCCTTCAGAATCTCTCAAATCTTCTTTCACCCACCCCATAAATCCTCATCGATCTTCACCTACAATCTCCACCGCTAAGAACCGCCTTGCTTTAGACTGAGCTCTTCATCCACTTGAAGCCTGAGTTCAAAGTTATTTTTGCATCTGCTACTGCCTTAGCCATCTCAGATCATCACCTTGTCTTGAGACGGCTTGCTCACCTGCAGGAGACCATCTCCACCCTACATATCTATATTATCTACTTCACTTCCACACCCCACCTACTTTAGAATGTCTGTCAAGGACGCTCTCTCGAAGGGCCATGCCTATCGTCGACTGTCAAACGAGTCTGCCCAACGGGCAGACTTGTTTGGCGGACCCAGTGTGGTTATGCCACCCAAGCACTTGATGGCTTCGTCCGATGCCGCGGACTTTCCCGTTGAGATGGAAAGAGCGAAGGAGCGCCTGAACAGTGATACGTCCGTCTCTTCAGATGAGAGCTCTCCCCAGGCTGCCTCACCAGCCACGTCGCCCTTCATCCCTGCCGCCAGTGAGAATGTCACGACAGATGAGTTTGCTCTAGCCTTTGACATCGATGGTGTCCTCTTGCGAGGAGGGAAGCCGATTCCCGCCGCCGTTGAGGCTTTGAAGTACATCAACGGGAAGAACCCATATGGCATCAAAGTGTAAGTTTGCTGCAACGTAACCTCTTGGTTCTGATCCGTTACTAATCTCCTAATAATAGTCCATACATCTTCGTTACGAACGGTGGTGGTAAGACTGAGGAAGAAAGATGCTTAGATCTCAGCCGTCAGCTTGAGCTTGAAGTCTCCCCTGGTCAGTTCATCTGCGGCCACACCCCGATGCGGGAAATGGCAGAGAAATACGACAATGTTCTCGTCGTCGGTGGCGAGGGCGAAAAATGCCGAATTGTTGCCGAGGGTTATGGCTTCAAGAATGTTATCACTCCCGGCGATTTCATCAAGACGAAACAGGACACCACTCCGTTCCGGAAACTGACCGAGGAGGAGTTCAATAACTCCAAGTACCTTGACCTTGATAATCTTCGCATCGATGCCATTTTCGTCTTTGCTGACAGCCGTGACTGGGCTGGTGACCAACAAATCATTCTTGATTGCCTGATGACAAAGGGTGGCAACCTCCAGGAACGGTCCAAGACATTCAATGAGGGCCCACCCGTCTTCTTCTCCCACAATGACGTTGTCTGGTCCACTTCCCATGAGCACTCTCGCCTCGGTATGGGTGCCCTCCGCACTTCTCTCGAGGCGATGTACCACGCAGTGACTGGGAAAGAATTGAACACGTTTGCCTTCGGTAAGCCACAACTCGGTACATATGAATTCGCCATGCGACTTCTCCGCCAGTGGCGAAAAGATACCCACGGCATCAACAAGCCTCCAAACACCGTCTACTTCGTCGGAGATACTCCCGAATCGGACATTCGTGGCACGAATAGTTTCAACGAGGTCAGCGACTCGCACTGGTTCTCCATCCTCGTCAAGACTGGTGTCTACCAGGGGGGTACAATTCCTCGCTACCCGGCAAAGAAGACATGTGAGACTGTCCTCGACGCTGTCAAGTTCGCTGTTGAGCGGGAGCTCGGTATGAACGCGAACGGCAACACGCAGTCTGCTACCAATGGGGACGTCCGTAACTGAACTGGATTCGTAACGGAGTGTCCTTGCTTTTATGACTTATGTTTCAAGATTTATGATTCGTGGCTGGCCTATTGTTTCACAACTTATATCTTTTTGCCTTGATGATTCCCCCATGCTTATGACCTGTTTATTTTATTTTGACAGACGCGACATGCGATTATGTACTTTGCATAGTCGTATTCTTCTTCAGTTCTCGTCGCTGGGATATGAGATCCTTTAGACTATAAAGTCTGCATACATCTTCCCTCGACTTTATATATTATCATTCTACAGAAGTATACACTACTATAGAGTCGATCAGCTATCTAGAAGCTATTGGCCACCTGGACTATCCTACCTGTATTCTAATTAGCTATCACAATACAAAGAATGAATACTCAAATACAGCCATGGGTCTCATTGCTAAATAGCGCATACACCGTTCGCAATGGTTTGCCTATGCCTCAAGTGGTCCCCAGTCCGGCGCATTTAAAACGCCATAAAAGCGCACTGACGAGGACCGTTCCGTAACAAGATCACTGGCCATTACCGACTTACTAGCACGGTACAGACGATGTCAACCACGAATACAAGCATCCCATCCCAGTCTATACTGCCTATCCCATGCTCGTGCCCCGAGCCATGTCCACGCCCATACCACCACACACCCAAAGTAAGCTGAATACGAATGCGCCGCGACGACTGTATAAGGTTCCGCGCAAGCCACTTCCGGATGGACGACAGGGAAACAAGATTCTGGCATCCATCCAGTCAGCCGCGCAAGAAAAAGCACTCCAGGCTGCCGGCCAACCATTTTGTGCCTTGCTTATATTTCTTCGGAGTAATGGACGCCAGCCACACACACACATACTACCCACCATTCATTACTAGTTAGCAATTATCTTCATGGTGCATGGCATGGCATGGGATGGGCGGCGCGGACGGGATCTCGAGGCTGAGCCGACGTCGCCACCCCGAGGTTACAATATCATAATTAATGCTAAAGTCAGACAGAAAGACAAGTTCGAATTGCGGCGACCTCCGATTCGAACAAAGGACGCAACCACCCATGGATATGTTATATTGGCCGGATTATGAATGCCTGCGAATAGGATCGAAGCGAGAAAGAGACGGGAGGCTGAGCCCAGGGAGACGAGGAACATAGGTTAAAATCCCGGGCTTGGCGAACTAACAAATTCACCCTTTTCCCTAATTTAGAGTGTGCCACGCCCGACCCGTCCGTTCATCCTGGTATCATATCACTGGTTTGTATAGATGTGTTTGCTTGTGACTGGTTCTCGGGACACGAGGAGGAGGAGGGGGGGAACCGGGATGGATGAAATGGGCAATTCCGTGATTAACAACTGAGTGGAAGGCTGAGTTAGAGTTGGACCACCCGGGGGCGCATTCTTGGGTTGGTGATTCCTTGGTCGTTGCCCTGCTCTTATGATATTGGGTACGGAGAATATCTTATTTGTTGGGTCCTGCTGGACCAGGCAAGCCCTACTTTTTTCAATCTTGCTGCCATGTGGGTCGACGTCAGAGCGCGGGGATGTGATGAGACGCAACGCGGGGAAATAATGCTACATCTGCAAGCTGCAAGTATGGTGATCGAATTGATTGAACTATGCCGGAACTCTCTATTTTTCAGTTCTAGGTATGTGATC